TTTGTTGTATTCGAACCTTTGCCTCTAATGATATTGACACTTTTCCAAAGCTGTTTGGGTTATTAATATTACTGTTTATTATGCTTTTGAAATGTTCTGACTTAGCTTTTGTATTATTTTATTGGTTTTGTTACGTGCTACTTTATAAGCTTGGTAGAAATACCGAGAATTTGTCCGAGCTGCCTTTTGTTTTAAATAGTCTCGATGATTCATCTCCTTTTTAATTTCACTAGTTTAACCATGGTGTGTGTTGACTTCTAACTTTACGTGTTCTTAGTGGAGCATGCTTTTCCGCTATAGAGGTAAACACATTACGCCATTTTAGCCACATTACGTTTGGGTCTAGTTCTAATTCTAGCCCTATAAAAGAAGAATTAAGCATATTTAGCAAATCACATTTAAATGCGACTTTGTTGTAGTTTTTGAAAGATCTTGACTCCACAATTTTAGGAAGTGATTTGCCGATGGATACCTTTGTACTTACATAGATCATATAGTGGTCACTAATGCCGATTCGAATCACCCCACTGGTATTTACTTTATGAGGATTATTTGTAATAAATACATCGATTAATGTTTGAGAATAATTTGTGATTCGAGTTGGTTCTGTAATAATTTGTTTTAACTGATAGACATCCATGATATCGATAAGTCGCCTGCTATTGGCGTTATTCTGAACGTGTAATAAATTGCAATTTAGATCGCCTACTATTTGATATTCCTTATCTTCGGCTTCAAGATTACGAATCAATATTTCAAATTTATCAAAAATTTCGACCGGACTGTTTGGTGGTCTATACCAGGTAATAACAAGGAAGGGCTTGCTTCTATTCTTTCTTATTTCCAGACAAATCGCTTCAAGACCATCAGGAATGAAGTCTGCTCGTGAATAAGCATTTATAGCTGTCTTAACATACAAAGCAACTCCACCACCTTCCCGGTTTCTGTCAGCTCGGAAAATGTCATAACCATTAATGTTAACAAAGCCATCATCTATATTGCCGCTTAATCTAGTTTCATTTATACTTAATATGTGACATGGTTTGTCTTTTAAGTGGATTCTAATTTCATCAATATGTTTAACCAAGCTTGCAATATTTAAGTGCATAATTGAGAAGCTTTTTAAGTTATTCATATTTATGATATTCGTATCCTGACTGGAGTTTGGGTCAGGTAATTCCTCAGGGATCGTTATGTTGTGTTCAGGTAGCCGCTCATAATTCATTAATGGTTAATTTTGTGATTCAAATGCATCTAAGCGACACGAGTCCGAATAACAAATTGAGCCACCTAATCTGTATTTTGATCGCGCTAGTCAACAGTTATTTACAATATGAATCTTAAAATTGTTAGCTAATGCACTTGAGCCTCGTTTGTTTAGGTGTCAAGCCATATGAATTTAGATTTGCATTATTAATGTTATTGTTTTCAATTAATCTCCAGTTTTCTTGCTCGCAAAGATCGCTCATGAGTTTATTCACTTCTCTAGATTTGTTGTTCAAATTACTTTTATCATTTCTAACGATTACCTCTGAAAGGGGGACGTCCATCTTTGAATTGCGTTGTTTTGCCAATTTCCCCAGACTTGCAATTGCCAACTATTTCGGACATTGAGTCAGCAGTGCGCCAGCGGATACCCCCGTAAAAGTCAATATATTTTAGGCAAAGAAATCTATAAAATACATAGGAGTCAAACTAAAAACATCGAATTGACAAAAAGATATTTCGATTATTTTATTTGCTCAAATGGAGTAGTATTCCTACATCGCATACAAACAAAACTGTCGAAAAAAATAACAGTTAAAACCTTATTAAGTTTTTCGTTTCGAGATTCAGCTTCTGAACGCTTTACTTCTATAGACTTGTATATTAACTCGGCCGAAATCCGCTCGATTACCGAGTTTCCTTGTTCAATTTTTAAATTTCTGTGACTGCTATGTGATTTGCTCAAATGGAACACCAACCTTGAGGATCCTCGCTAGCTGCTCACAAAAATTGGGCACATAAAACATTGAAGAAGTTTTTCGTATTTACCATCAAATATCATGAATTTTCGTAGACACTTAGAATATTATGCGCTGTTAATATCTGGTCGCATCGCCGCAAATTTTAGTGCGTTTAAAAGCTAAATTGAAGGCGAAATATCACTCGCAGTAGGTTGTACTTGGTACCAAAATGATCGCCACGATGTGTATTTTTCAACCCTGCAAACGCTTCTGGGATGCACGAAACACAATCCGTGCTGCCAGCGGTAGAAGTTGAGCCATTTGGCTGTTGCCAAACTAAAAGGTCAACCAAAGGTCAGCCGTATTAAATAACTTAAAACTCGACGAAATATTGTAATGTTTTCTGTGCTTAAAACCATTTATTTTGACAATAACGACTATTCGAGCGTCGAAATTAAAAGTTTAACCCATAGGCGAAACACTTATGTGTTTCTATTAGAACTGGCTCGTTTATTTCCACTTGGTCATTTCAAAACATTGCAAAACATTGCACGTTACGCATTTCAGGGAGCTTCCGCTGGATAGCAGGATTGACATAAGACCGCAATAGTTGGCGATGCATATCTCTAACAATGTCAGCCGGTGTCTTGGCTTTCAAATCATTCGTTCCAGTGTGAATTATTATATGCTTCGGATTCAGAGAAAGAGTCGGCTTTATATAGTGCTTAATGTCAGCAGTTTTGGCACCAGAGAAAGTTCTTACAATGATCTTCTTGTTTGTGCTTTGTCGAAGTTTCCAAGCGTCGACATGCTTGATCATAGAGTCCCCTAAAATCGCCACATCACACGGGGCCCTGTCTGGTTCACCCTTTTTTTCAACGTTAACTCGTGGACGTTGTGCTTTTGGCTTTGTGCTTGACATGACACTTCGGGACTTTCTTCGTTACACGAGTCCTCGACTTGTAGTATCTCGTATTGATTTGAGGTAGTCGCTCGTTATCCATTACGCTTGTTTCCATCGCTTTGTTTTGCTGATCGCCCGACATGTTTTTTGCTTTCGTCTTGCTTGATTGGATACTTCGACTTCGACTCAGCATTTCTCCACGGATTTTGGGATTGTTCATCTATATTCTCCGATACTTTAGTCGTTTTGTCTTGCATTATGATTGTTAGAGCTAATCGAAGGGAATCCCTTTCTTCTTCGGCTTTTGTGGCACGGTCTTCAAGCGATTGAATATTCGTTTTTAGTTTTTTTTATGCTTTCTTTTCTCCAGCCAGCTCTTGTTGTAGTCTTGTAATCTCTACTTCGGAGTTTAAATCTTTAATCGTATTCAAGTTATACGACGCCGAAGCTTTCATCATGGCCAGAAATGAGGGACAGTCAGCGAAATATACTGCAGGCGCAGAAATTCGCTAAATTCTGCAGCGTCAGCATAATACAGCCAGACATTAAAGGCATCTCAAGCGAACTTCGGAGCTAATTTTATATCAGTTAAAGACTGTGGCAACTATTTCCTTATTTACAATCTTTTAATTGATGGAACACAATAGTTTCTAAGTCCAAAACTACAAAAGTACATCAAAATATAGTGAATTTCACCGGATTTAAATTTGATTTTGGCGCGATTTTTTCCTATTTTGGAGCCCCCTGTCCTTTATAAACAACAATCAGCGGTTGTACGTACAAATGTTTTCAAAATGGTTGACAAGAACCCACGACGACGCTTTTA